ATATTGATAGTGAAGAGTATATATACACATACATGTATATGCATGCATATACCTGTAGAGCCAATTTCGAACAAGTTTCAATTAAAAACAATTTATATTGCTCCAAAGTATAACAGCGAAAACAAAAGACTTAGGCAACGAACTTGACAAATCATACACGTTCGATTGTAAAATTAATATCTTTATAAACAAATATATATCATACTTATATTCACAAAAATGCTAAGTCAAATTAAAAGAGCTTCAATTCAAATAAACATTGTATTTTTGGGCACAGACTTGAAAAGACTTAAGCGACAAACTTGACAAAGCAAATTTGCGTGCGACTCTAAATTGTGTTAAATGAAGCTTAAAATGTATTGTTAAAAATATAGATTGTTTACATAAAAATAGTCAGAGCCAAGTTAATATCGAACCAGTTTCAATCGAAAGCAAAATTTGCGCACACAAATTGAGCACCCAAGACAAAAGACTTAGACAACGAACTTTGTCAAAAAAAAGCCCCCACTAAAAACTATAATTAATTATAATCAATATTTAAATGTGAATATGCAGATATATGTATATAAATTGAGTATGTTATAGATGTGTCGCAGCTAATGGAACGGGTTTCGTCTCGTAATCCCCACTTGTTTACTTTGTTTTTGCTTAGTTAGTATTAGAAGTTTCTCTAAGGCTAGATGTGTAAGAATATGTATGTTTGCGCGCTTGTACCTTGTCGTCGATTGAACTGGGCGGGCGTGGGCGTGGCCAGGCAGCCAAGCATTAACACAATACACAGTACTAGCTTCATTTTATTGCAGTTATATAGATTGATAATTAGATATGATAAATATACATATAAATATATATTTATATAGAGATTTCGTATCCAATTTCGCGTTGCGCACTCGCGACGTGCACGACTCGACGAACGTTATCAGACTGAGCGCGTCTTACTGACCGGCTGTCGAGCTTCTTTAGAGATATTATTACTAGCACTGTTTTTTTTTTCCCCGACTCGTATTTGGGTTTGGACAACGTGTTTGCGTGCCCGATCAGCGACAACGATTCGGCGTTCGACAGCCGAGCTGGGTTTTTATATATGCAGGCAGCGAGCTCTCAGTTCTGTTCTCAATGGCAGAGCATCGAGAGCGCTAATCTCATCAACTATTTAGTATATCAATTAAAAATCTCAGCTATAACCAACAAAAAATCACAAAATKCAACTGTAATTTTATGCAATTTTTCCCAATATAGTAAGCTAGATGACAAATCCCTTGGCTAGAATGCAAATTATAGATCGCATAAATTTACCGAACTGAACTGCATTGAATCTAACTATAATATCATATTCCACCTGCAATTATATCGGATATGTTCTAATTGCCTGTATATATACATATATATAAAATTTACATTAAATCTAGAGCCAAACAGCGCTTACTCTCAATGTAAACAAAAGAACATACCCTATATAGTGTCGATTATACATATAATAACGGGTGGCTAACAGCTATTATGGAGTCAGGGTAATCAAAGTAATTTAAGGATGCCAATGGGCTAAATATACTAAGATTTATATCCAAAATCGATATTTACCTCAACTTAACTTTGTTATCGACTAATATCGATTTTAGTAAACATTAAGTTAAGATTGATGTAGGAATCATAAACTCTATCATTAAACTGTGCAAATATGTTTCTAGAATATAATTATTCCCATAAAAGGGCTTCAATAATGACAACACAAATATGATATGCGAATAGTTAGCAATATTTTTGAAGCGATGTGAAAATAGCTATGTAATTAAACTATTAAGTACACAAAGTAAGAGTATATATGTATATCCGTTTGTCTGTATAAAGCTAGTAGAGAGGTCAAGTTAAGATCGTCGTATAAGCAAGTTAGTTAAAATAAATGTATAAAAGAGGCATGCCAGAATGACAAATTTTCTATTTATCTGTCGCATTTGAAAAGCAGCAAGCGCCAAGCTTTGAAGTTGTGGAGTTGCTATAAACTATATAGAACGGGTAAATAAGATAAATACTTAATTTTAACTAGATGTCAGTTGGTATCTATAGGTGAGTATCTCTGTTAGGGTATATAATAATACATATGATTTATAGACATATGTATGCTAAAAATATGTGATGGACGTGTGAACTGACAGAGAGAGAGAGAGAGAGAGAGAGAGGGAGAGGGAAAGAAGGAGAGCGAGAGAGAGATAGAGAGAGAGAGAGAGAAGTAAGAAGAGAAGTAAGAGATTAGTGTTGTAGCACTGCAGTAATGACAATTGGTTAAATTATTTAAACGGATTTAGCCTCAGCCGCCTAATGAAGCTGTTAGCTGACAGACTAATTGTTAACTGTCAGCTCATGTGGAATAAATTAAGTAAAAATCGATTTGTTAATCAGCAGACGCAGCTCTACCAACTAGATTCCATCTCATACGATCCAAGCTCGACGATCAACGATCCAAATTGACGATTGACGATGATAAGAGCTGAGGTTTTTTAGTATGCATTCGTTGTGTAAATCACAGACTGATTAAGAGAGAGATTACGATTTAGTTTGCGACTTGCATTGCATCTAATCGATGACATAGTCACTGCACTGAGAGAAATTTTCATCAGCTAAGGGATGAGACAAAGAAGACATTTTATTATTAAGTGTATTTTCAAATCTAAATTCAATAGTAAAGACTTTAAAATATGTAGACAAACAATTTTATAATATTCCTTCCGTCAACAAATATGATTCATATTTAGCCTCCAATATTTCAAAGAATATTTAAGCAACAAAATTGAGTCAAAACAACACAGAAGGAGAAACTAAAGAAACTAATAAAAATTTGTTATACAGAACTTAAACGCGTCTGTTTCTCACAGTGTATTTGCGTGCATTGGACTGGAATCTGCTCGGAATGCCGAGCAGCTGAGAGCCAATTGTTATGCATAGAATGTGAACGCATATCATAGAACATCATATTATATATAGGCTCAATGTCGATGAGTAAGTCGGAGCTGAAGTTGAATGAGAAGAGAAGGTGGGAAATTCAGATAATTAAGATATGTACCTCCTGCTGGCCAGTTCCGGCTTGCACATAGTTTATGTGACATGAAGAAGAAAACTCGACTCGATAAGTGGCCAAGAGCTCTACGGAGGCAGAGATGGAGCATGACACGCGACATGTGGTTATATTTATAAACTCACAAATCAAGCTCATCCTCTACAGAATGCGTATTTTATTCTGGAAATGCCCCGTTCGTAATGCTTGCATGCCCACAAATTTAAGTATAGTTTTAATACAGAAAGGAAAATTTGAAAAATAAATCTGTTTCATTTATACTAGGGACTTTTTTAAGAGTTTTTTTTTTTTTTTTTTTTTTGGAACTGATTAGATTTTCTATATCTGGTATAGGCATAGCCATAGGGAAAATTATAAATTCCATAGGGAAAATTATGAATGACCATATATATACACATATAATTATTTGCAAATGTTCTCTATATAGGTCATGTGCTGCATGTTATATATATGATGATGATGATGATATATAATAATGATATATGACATATGTTTGACCATTGCACCAACAGCCATCACCAAGGATAAGAGAACATTTGAACGCTTGCCAGCGTTGCCAGTCAGAGTCTTCAAGGTTTATCTCTCTTATCTCTAAGAACACTATATTATTCATTAGCTATTTCACTATTCCTTTATCAAATATCAATCTGTTTATTTAGGTCAGATTTACCTGGCTATAGATTAGATTTAGATTAGCATTTGTAGTCAAAAATATTATAAATATACTGTAATGCTGACTTACAGCTCAAGAACTGCTTATATAACACCCAGCTAATTATACAATCAATAAAAGTAGTAAGACCTTTGCAGTGAATACAAGATTCGTCTATTAGAATGTTAGATCGCCCTAAAGGGAAGACTTAGAGACTTATAATAAAGCAGCTTTATATGGCTGTCTAACAGGTATTCTCATATCACTTTATCTGATGATTGATATTTATTTTCATAAGTTTTTTATTATATCTTTAATTTACTAAGTGTTGGTAATCAAATATTAGGCGTAGCGTCAAGAAATCGTCACCTCCTGCCCCTCGAAGCTCCAGCCAGTGTCTGCTGTATCCAACTCATGTAGCTGCTGGTTCTGGTGTAGACGCCGGGAAAACCAGGTTTGGCGCACTCGTAGCCAAAGGAAACAATGCCCAGCAGATAGTAGCGATAGATGCTGCCATCCAGCTAAGATGATAAATAAATATGATGGCATGATCATAAAGTTAAGAAATATATGAAAAGAAATGATTGTTTGGCTTTTGTCGTGTGAGTTCCCCACGCCCCCCCTCGGCGAGATGGCAACAAACTCAATCACCTTGGGGGATTTGTGGCTGATTTGGTGGCTCAATCAAGACCAAAATAAAAATGGAATTAAAAAACTGGTTCATTGATGAGTCAGCCTGACTGATAGTGTAACTGACCTGCGGCAGCATTAATGGTCCACCGGAATCCCCCTGACAGGCATCGACTGTGGAGCTGCCAGCACAAATTAGCTGCAAGAGATTGAGAAAACAGATTGGAATCGTGAACTGGGTTTAACAAGCAAGTTGAAATGAATAGGGAAGCGAAGATCAGATGAGGTGAGATTTATACCAAATAAGACCAAATTTAGTATAGTATAGATTATTATAGTATTGCATATGCAGATTGGATTACTGTAGAAGATATCTCCAATCTACCTCTCACTCCTTCGCAAGGGTATTCAAAGCTTCGACTTTGGCTTGCATGCGCTTTCAATGAGGTTTACCTTGTCGCTGAATTGAACAAATTGAAAGACAGATTTGTAGCTCTGCTGGCAGCTCTGCCGTGAGACGATCGGCACCTGGGCATCCCGCAGCACATTGGAGGTGGCGCCCTGATGTTGCGTGGCCCCATAGCCGGCCACAAATGGATTCATGCCCACGAACTGATCCTCAAGCAGAAACCGGCTCGACTCTGGCAGGCAAATGGGTCGAATGTCAGCTGGGGAAAATCAAAGAATATAATTAATGGGAATGCAATGGATATACATGACTTTATATGTCTCTTAAAATAGAGGCAGAGTCAGCAGAGAGAGAGAGAGAGAGAGAGAGATAAACTTTTATACACTCTAATCTGCAGAGCAGACAGAGCATTCCAATAGATGATAAGCGGTTTGAGCAAGACAAGTGCAACTACTCAACGCTAGATGGCGCCACACCTTTCCGATTGAAAGTGAACAAATTGAAATGAAATAAAAGCGAAACGTTATCTAAACTAAATTCTTAAAAATAATAAAAATAATATAAGATTTTGTAAAACTATAAAAACAGATTAAAGAAGTTGGCTGAACTATGAAAATGGAGTATAAGTGATAAATAGACTATGTAAATTAAATATTAGAGTTTACAAAACCTATGCAAATATATTATAAGAGAATTATTTCAAAGAGAATTACCATTACCATTCCATTTCGCAGCTACTCACCAGTAGATGGCGCCTCGCCATTCAGCTCAATCAAGGCAATGTCATTCGCAATGGCAGACAAATCGAATTGCGGATGCACAACAGTGCGTCGAATGCGATAGTCCATCACACCCGCCTCATTGGGATTGGAGAGATCGCGAGCGCCCAGGCGCACCAGCACCAACATGGAGTTGATGCAATGTGCCGAGGTCACAACGAACTGCGGACTGATCAAGCTGCCGGCGCAAAGAAATTCCAAGCTATTTCGATTGCCATCCTTAAAGTAGCCCAAAGCAGCCATCCATGGATAGGCACCTGGTGGAAGAGGAAGTTTATGTATGAGTGTATGAGCTCATGGGATTGATGCTCACCTTTGCGAACGGGCAAGCCGCCAACGACACGATTTGTGGTGGCGCCACTTATGCCACAGCCGCTGGAACTGCTGGAGCTGCTGGCGCCACCTGGCTGTGAGGGGAAGACAGGCAAAGGTACAGAACCAGGAGCAGGAGCTGGGTGAACAGGCACTGGAGTGGGACGCAGCACAATTCCAGGTTGATTTATGGGCGGCGTGGGCTGAAAGACGGTGATGGGCGGAGGTGGAGGCGTGGTGGGTCCGCTCAACGAGGAGAACGAAAAACCGACAGCAGGCGCAATCTGCTTGGGATGCCGGTTGGCCGAAGGATCACGCATCGTGGCACAACAAACCTGCAAAGGCAGCCTCAACTCTTTAGCAAACTTCAAGGAGGAGGAGACTTGGGCGGAGGATTTACCAAGAAGCTGGCGCCATCAAAGCCACAAATGGACTGTCCGAGAAACGTGTGAAATTCCTGACCCGCTGTGCCCGTCTGATACTCCTGGACGAGATGCGAGCAGCTCGTCAGAGGGACGCAGCTGCCGGGGCGAGCGCGTGCATCATTGCAGCTCTCTGAAAGCTGAGGCTGGGCTAGAATGAGTTACAGATGGAGCTCATGGTACAGTTTTGGATTTGGGTTGGGTGCAAGTGCAACGATCGATTGGGATATTCAATTTGTTTTTTTTTTTATTGCGCAAACAACTACAGCTAGGTGAGGGGAGGGGACTATGGGACCTCAATTGTGTAACTAGTGGAATCGGATGCGACGACGTCGACGATGTCGACTCGGATTGAGCGGCATAAAGACCATGATATCCGAACCCATGGGCATAGTGGAAACCTGCTGCTGCTGCTGCTGCTGTTGCTGCTGCTGCTGCTGTCGCGGATCGATGCAGGGGCAATTGGGCAGCGGAGGCAATCCGCCGGGAAGGCAAACGAAAGGCGACGAAGGACACGTCGGTGCGGGCAATGTAGTTTCAGCTGCGGTTGTTGTGGTCACGCCCGCTGCGGTTGTGGTGGTGCTGCTCGCTGTGGTGGAGGTGGTGGTGGTGGTGCTGGTAGTCGTTGTGGTTGTCGTGATTGGCTGCAAAGGCGGCGTCGGTTGAAACGTTGGATACACTGCATTGGACGTGGATGTGGGCATTAGTGGCACTTGAGCTGGCGGCACGGCCAACGGATAGACCGTAAAATAACCTGTGGGATACGCCGGACACCAGCCCTTGATGCTGGCCAAATACGAGAGAAATGGCCAGAAATAGACCTTCACACAGAACTCGTCCAGCAGCATGCTCCAAGTATGCTATGCGATTTGATGCGATCCGATGCGTGCAGCTGCCCCAAGTGTTAGGCGCCAACTGCTCCAGAGCTGGCCAAAAACTCAATTTTTCAGGCCAGCAACTGAGTCCATTTAAATTGCATTGCAACAAATTATATCAAATTTAATCTAATTCGAACGTTTTGTGGACTTTTCGCTTGACTTTTTACAGAACGGAAGCGCAGCACACAGGGGCGGTTCAGTGGCCGCCAAGGTTTTGGGCCCGCAGCAATAGTGAGATTTTTGTATGTGAATATGTTCCTGCATGCAGCTGATGTCACTGCCCGTTGCCCCCTGCCCCACAGATTTCCCGCTGCTGCCATGCTTTGTTAGCTTTTCGGCAGCAAAAATTAAAATAACTGGGCCACTGACGCTTGACATCCGATTAACTCGGGCGCTATCAGCGATCGTGTTAACTGTTGTTTGCATGACACAAATTTCCGAACAGAATATATTCGAGGCGCTACTAAATTGAAGTCACAGATTTGTTTATGCATTTGTCACGATCGCAATCAGAATCGCAAATGCCAAAAGCTTAAAGCCCTAAATATAAAAGGGATCAACTTACTGTTCACCAAATCGAACAGCCAGACAAGGCATATCCAAAATTCCGGGCTCCAGCTATATAGTTTATATAGTTTTCCCATGGCTCTTGACTCCGACGCGACGCGTTCCCCTTTAAACAAACTTCAATAATGCACTGAGCTGTGGGCGCTACGACGACTCCGAACTTAAAATAGAAATGAAAATCAAAATAAATAAAAAAGCTGTACAATTATTTCGATTTATGATGGTTTAATTGTCGCAATTTTCAAATTAAATCTCATCATTTGATTAACATTTGAGAGCATTACAAAAAATATGTGTGATGACAGTTCAGTTGAACTTGAAAAAGGTAAAGCACCTGTTGAACTCCCCACATCAAGGTCTAACTAACTATATATAGTCATATACGGCGAGCATATCAGCTAAACATAGCTGGATTTATATGAAATATTGACTGAATGCCTGCTGATTAATGGGACGTTAGCCCTTACCAAGCTTTCCATTTTTTTCGTCTAAGTGTTTCCTTTAAGTATTTTTTTCCAAGTCTTTATTCGAAGCATCTCTTCTAAGCGTTTCCTCTAAGTATTTTTTCCAAGTCTTTATTCGATGTATATTGGCTATGTGTTTCATTCTTCAACGTCTTATAATCTTATCTTCTAATATTTCCTCTAGGTATTTCCTCTAAGTTTTCTTCGAAGTAATTCGAAGAATATCCTCTAAGTAATTCCTATAAGTCAGTTCACTTCACTGCACTACACGACTGACCCCCACCGTGCCTGATTGACTGAAGAAATGCTGCAGCTGCTGCCCTTTATATAGGGCGACTTTCACTCACCGCCTAGGTAGCGCTCAAATATTGAGCCTGACGCCCGAACTTTGAGTGACCAATGGGAAGACTCTCTGCAGCTGCAAGCTCTCTAACTTCGTTTTACTTAAATATAAATACGAAATGAGTACTACTGCATACATATAAAGAACTTAAATGATATGGTGTTCTCAGAGAGACAAACGGAGGAGCAGAATCTAAGACAGACAGCGAGACAGAAATACGAATAGATATACATATTATGCATGTACATTCATAAACGATTTATACAATATCTGTATATGTATTTTCGGATGCGCTTATTTATTGAGTTTTTGGCTTTTTAGTTAGGCACAGTTAGGCTAAAATAGTATTTCGGTTTACATTGAGAGAGACGAAACGGAAAATATGCTCTAAATCTAAATGCCGACTACGACTACCTCGTGTACTCGTACATACAACATGCATACATCGAATATGAACTATATATATAGAGTGGAGTATTGGAGTATATAATTTGGATTTCTCAGTGTTGTCCAGTCGCGATCCTCGTTGATTTATTCCCGGTGCTTGCAGTCGAGAAAGAGTTGCGCCTGCGATTGAACGAATCGAAAGATTTCGAGCAGCATTTCGTTGGAGGTTTTGCAATTGCCCTGCTGTGGCTCAAAGAAGCCACCGGCACCGCCAGCACCACCCACCGAACGTTTGCCCCAATCCGGCGAGAATGTCAACTGAGGGAGAGAAAATACATATGCTACACTAAAATACTTCCAGGATTAAACTCTACTGGGACTCACCTGACATTCCACACAGGCCAGCAGGAAGAAGAGCACAGCGACAATGAGGACTTCAGTCTTGCAGTTCATCTTGGTTATTGGGAGCTCTAAACCACTATGAGCTATAAACCACTTGAGAGCTGCTTTTATAGCCCTCTGACAAACTTGCCACAGACGGTTCAATTAACTAAGGACACTTCTAAGGATGCGCTGGCATCACACAACAGATGCGGCGCCGCAAGCTCTGACGTCATATACAAATAGATCAAAGTACAAATTTAGTATTAAAGTCAAATGTGAATATATGATGTGTATACACATATACATACATATATATAATGTATCACATTGATGCAGTTACTATACTCAAAATATATTCAAAATTTCAAGTCTATAGCAACCCAGCTGGACAAAGTATAACCAGAATATATTAGTACTTTTTGAAGGAGAAGCTTAGATGGACTAACTGACGTTTGGACGAACGAGAAGAAGGAAGAGTTTTGCACCAACCAATACTCTCTTCCATTGATTCCATTAATAACAACATTATCCAACTCTGAAACTCTATAAAAATATAAAGCCCAATTAAATAATTTCGAATCAGAAAGAAAATTTTAACTAAATAAAGTTTCGATGATAATGCAAATCAACAACTAGAAACTACAACTCTAGAAATCAGACCCTATGGCTAGACGCTGCTCAACTATTTCTAGTTTCTAAATTAATAAAATTGGAACATTTTGGAAGCATTTGTGATTTGTATGTATTTATTAGAATTGCGCATATATGTATATATATATACTTTGAAATATATATAAATAGGTATATATAGTATTAAGAATCGTTAAATTAAGCAGTGTAGTAGTAAAACAAAGAATATTTATATAGTATATATACTATATACATACATATATATCTATATATGTAATGTAAAAAACGTTACACACTTTGTATAAAAAAAAGTAGAATAGAATTTTATAGAGGTTTACAAAATATTATTGTATTGTGCGTTTTTATCAAATTCCTTTCGTTTTACAATTATTTATATAATGCTAAAATTATGACAAGAAACAATTAAAATTGTTTATTCCTCATTGTTATTTTTGTTGTATTTGCGTGTGTTTTGTTAATTATATAAATTGTATTTATTTTGTTTGTTTTATTTTTCGTATTTTTTGTTATCAATGCTCTGACTAAATGCAACGAGAACGAGGCACTCAATTTGTTATTAAACACAACACAATCTTTGATTACGCGTAACAACAAAAATCGAATCATATATATTATGTATATATATAGATATATATTATTAGTAAATAACAATACAAATTACAATAACACATTAATGTTTGGCTTAATCGAACATATTAACACAAACATTCAAAAACTTGGCGTCAATTACAAAAATTTCTCACAAAACTTTCTAATTATAAAAACACTTTGTCCTTAATTGTTGCACATTTGATCAACAAATAATATTATATATATTCATGTGTGTGTGTGTGTGTTTGTATATGTTTTATATATATATATGTATATGTATACATATAAATATATATTTATGTATGTAGGTATGCAAGTATTTATGTAAGTATTTATCTGTAAATGTGCTGTGGACTTATTGAGTTTGCTTTGTTTAGCTTTGCTTTCGTTTTATATTTGTTTTTGTTTTAGTTAGTTAGTTTAACTGGCGAGTGGGCGTGGCATGAGCTTTTAGACAATTCATTTTATGTTCAGGCAGTTAACAAAATGCAATTCGTTGGGTTTCTGCTGTAGCTGGGATTACTTCGTTTTACTGGGTCATCGGTATCTCTCTATTTAGCTCAGTCGACGCGCATTTTTTATTATTTATTAATTATAAAAATTTTGGTGTTATACTCGTTACATCGTATCTCTTCCCCTCTTGATTCGTGGAGATTCGTTTTAGCTGCCCACCTTACATAAGGCAGCACTTCTTCTTGCCCTTCTTCTTGAAGCCCTCCTCAATGTAGGGTCGCTCTGCTATTTGAAATTTGCGCACAATGCGCACCAGCTCATGGAACGCCTGATCCACATTCACTCGCATCTTGGCACTACATTCAATATAGGGTATCATTAGATTTCTGCTGGTATTTTGTGCCTCTTCCAGCGAGACATGACGTTGATGCTCCAAATCGCATTTGTTGCCCACCATCAACATGGGAAACTCATCACGATCCTTGACACGCAAGATTTGTCGCTGAAATTTGGGTATTTCATCGAAGCTGGAATGATCATTCAGCGAGAACACAAGCAGGAAACCCTCGCCGGAACGCATATACTGTTCACGCATTGCACTAAATTCCTCCTGGCCAGCTGTATCCAGAACTGTTAGAAGATTTCAATTAATGACCGATATATTTATGTATATGTTACTTATATATATATATTTCCACTCACTATCCAATTTGGCGGGCACATCATCAATGACACATTGCTTCGTATAGGAGTCCTCGATTGTTGGATCATAGTCTGTGACGAAATAGCTCTGAAATAGTACAGAATAAATGTGTTAATACATTGAAAATAATTTTGATTATAGTTGTGAATCTGAAATATTAATTATATCGTAAATATACAATATATAAGTATTATATAAGTTAAATTATTTCTTCTGTGAATTAGTTAAGAATTATAAATAAATATAAATAAAAAGTTGATGGTACTGCCGACTAGAAGATACCCTAAAAGTGCTAGATCAACCTGGATGTCGTCAAAGCATATTTTCACTATATTTTTGTATATACAATTATATTTCAATTTCGTTTTTAATTTAACATTTTTTTCCATTATTAATTTCGGTCATTCAATGTTCATTTTTATTTATACACATTTGGAATTTAATAATAATTTAACCACTGTGCAGTAAATAAAACCTTTTGAAGCACTTTTTGATTTGTTTACACACAGTTTAATGCGCTACTTCAGTTGATGAAAATCTTGGCATACATAAAAACAAATGTTTATGCATGCGTGTTCGTATGTGTGTGCATATGGTAAATATATATACTATTCGTATATATGTATGTGAATGGCTGTGGCATGGGCATATGGGGATGACGCAAATAACTAAAAATAAATATTGCTAGGCGCATTGCCACATTTTGTGAATGGTGCGACGGACGAATTAAGAATGAGACCGTGGTCGTGACCATGGCGAACGCCCCGTTAGATTGACCTCAACTCTGTACACTCCTCACAGACACAGTCGCAATATCCATTTAGGCCGCTCGACTGGGCAACGCCCTTAATACATGCCGATTTTCCATTTCAATTGAATTTTCTATGAAAATACATTTCAACTTGATTTCGATGCGCTGATCTATGCTCAAAAATATGTAGCTCACACGCACACATATGTATATAAGCATATATGTACATATATATTGCCAAACAAAGTAAGTCGCTTGTTGCTTTTGCCAAAACAAGGGTTCAGCCCACTTGTTACGTTACGCCGCGCCCCTCTGTTGATGCGTTGTTGGATTTAGAGGTGCGCTACGCTATATATCACCGCTAAAAGTCACTGTCATAACAACGTCAAGATCACGTTTTCACACCAATGCGCAACACTGTTGCGTTTGCTTATACAGCAACATAGACGACGACGTCACCAGATCTTTTCTTCTGCCCCTTACCTGTATGAATTGTATCGTTATGGCTGATTTTCCAACACCGCCACCACCGACGACTACCAGTTTATACGTTTGCATTTGCATTTTTGTGCGATGCGTCGTCTAATTTTCTGTTTTATTTTATTGCTATACCGTCCGCGAAAAATATTCAACTAGAAATACACGAATATATCGTCATCGCCGATACCATTACAAATCAACATATCGTCCAGGGTTTCATTACGACTAGTCGTTGCTCCAGCAGATGTTTGCACTGCTGCTGTTTCAAATATCGCAATCAAATTCCAGCAAATCTTTCATACATTAAACAAATTGAAATCAATCTTACTGCAAATGACAAAATTTAATGTAAATACATAAAAACGACTAAATATGTTTCAACAATAAGGTAAATATTAGGGTCATTTAAAATATATCAAAATATCAGTATATCGATATTTTTATATAAAAATAAATTTATATCGAAATATTTTTTGGCCAAATATCGAAAAAAAAAATTAGATATTTTTTATATATTTGTGTTGTCACTCTTGTAATAAGCTTACCAAGCGTAAATAAAAATGAAGATAGTGAAAACGTATTATTCGAACTTTAAAAATGGGACAGCCACATGTAATTTGTGCCTTAAAGTAATAAAAACAAGTGGTAACACAACAAATATGGCATCGCATATGAAAAACAAGCACTATGATGTTTTTGCAAAGTGCAACCAAAACAACGTAAGCACTTACACATGATTTAAGGTGGCGTCGTTTTTCTGTGTGTGCGTGTGGGTAATTTTAAAAGCCCGCGCTTCCTCGGAATATACCACGATTGAGTTTAATTTAGACTGTTTCGCAAACTACGATTCTGAATTTTTATCCGTTTGTTTAAATCATTAGGTTTCGAACAACTCTGGAGAAAACCAAACAGTGCAACAATCTTTCAGAAACACTGAATCTTTAAAAAGTAAGTTTGGCTGACTTGATGTGATAATATTGAGCGACAATGCACGAGAAAGCTCTGCATGCAAATTTACATGTGATCTCTTAATACATACGTGTCAGAATTCAACCGAAGTGAGAAGAGAACCAAAGCGAAAAGTAAGGCGAGTTGTGAGAGAGCGATTCTGAATCGCTTTATCTTTGCCTGGTGAAATGTTTTTGGTTTTTTTTTTTTTTTCTTGCTTGAATAATAGTTTGTTTCAAACGATTTCAGGAGATTGTTCACCAGATCCTGGTATATATGCCTCGAAGCCCTATTTTGAGTCAGTAATGCTATTGAAAGACGACATGAAGCCCAAGCAATCGCTCGGCAATTTGGATACCAGCCGCTCCAATAAAAGGTTGAGTGTTGCGGAGTTTGAAGATTCGGTAGACTCTGTATTGCCTCAAAGCTTGGATGAACAGTGCAATGAAGAAGATGCTTTTACAGAAAGAAAGAAAAAAATTAAATTAAGCATGTCTTCTCAACTACTGTTAATGGAGAAGGAAAAATTAAAACTATTAGAAAAAAAAATCAATGCAACAAAGACCGACGATGACTTGTCTTTTTTTGAGAGCCTTCTGCCTTATATGAAAAGGATGGACATGAAAAAAAAATTGCTTTGCAGAATGGAAATTCAAAAGGTTGTTCTTTCCCATTTTGGAGAGAAATGATGCAGAAGAAAAACTCAATAAAATTCAAAATATTTGTTAAAAAGTTATTCAAGTATTCAGGTATTATATATGCGGTATCTATAATTTAAATAAAAAATACTTTTTCTTAGTATTCTGGTTTTTAAAGCTTAAAAATTTATTGTGGGAAAAAGTGAATCGATGTTTTAAAATTGCATATCATATTGATATTTTTCAAAGCAATATCATCGATCGATATTTAAAAAATATTCGACATCCCAGTAAATGCCTGCAGCAATAAACTACTCGAAACATTTCCAGCGAAGACATTATCGATAAATGTTGCATGCCGACAATCGATTAGTTGCAAGTAGCACAGAGTGCAATCAAAATCAAATTTGTTTTTTCTTATTCAACAAGTTGGTTTAGAAATAAATATTTTATTTAATAAAAAATTGAAATGTTTAATGCTAATGCGACTCGGCGGTCATGCACAAACGCGCCAATAGGCTAGTCAACTGCAGCAGCGAATTACAACCATCGACAATCTTCATGTGCGTAATGCCAATTTCTCTTATGAAGTTCAACTTCAGCTGTTCGTCCACATTCAACCTCTTGCAGACGCGAAATATATTACCAATAATATCCTCCGGTGCATAGCCAAGGCGCCACAATTTCGCCAAGATCTTGTACGCCTTGTGTATATCATTGCTGGCACAATGTTGCAACATATCCTGCAACAGCATCGGATGCGGCTCATCACAAACTTTGAAAACATTGGCGCCCGTAATTTCACCGAATCCCTGAGCCGTGGATTGCAAATTATTAAGAGCTTGTCGCATATCGCCCTGTGCCGTAAACACAATCGCCTCCAATCCATCCTCATCGTACTTGAGCTGCTCTAGCTGACACACCTCAATTAGCTTGGCTAGCACCTGGGCATCCGATAGTTTGCTAAACCTCAGCATGGCGCAACGCGATTGAATCGGCTCAATGATTTTCTCACTCGTATTACAGGCGAGTGCGAAACGCGTTGTATTACTATAGATTTCCATGGTGCGTCGCAGCGATTGCTGTGCACCCTCAGTCATGCTGTCCGCCTCGTCCAGGATTACTATCTTATGGCGGCCGCGTGGCAGGGTGACCTTCTGTTGGGCAAACATCTTGATTTTATTTCGCACTACATCGATTCCACGTTCGTTTGATGCATTCAACTCGAGCACCGCATCCTTGTAGCTGTCGCCCAGCAGAATACGTGCCAGGCACTGTATAGTTGTTGTCTTGCCTACGCCAGGTGGTCCCTGAAATAGGTTTAGCATTATTTATATCATATCTTCAGTTAAATTTAAAACCACATTACCGCAATTATTATGTTTGGCGAATTGCCCTGAGTGGAGAAGACGGATAGGCGGGCGACTGTATCTTCATTGCCTACAATTTCATCGAACTTAACAGGCCGATACTTTTCAATCCAAGGCAAATTATTGCGCTTGTCTACAACCACAATTCCTGTTTCCTCTGGCATTTCTCTTTTATTTAATTAAATAACAAGTTTTGACCCCGAACGCAATTGCAAACATAAAACGCGGGATTCGATTTTTTAGCACATATCGCTTCGACGTCAGTTTTATAGCAGTGAGCTAAATTATTGAAATAGCAACTGTGTCGACCACACATATCGAGTGATTGTGATCGAGTAGTCATTATCGCTGCTCATGATAGTTGTGTGCTCAGTATCGATAAGTGTAGATGTAGAAAAAAATATAGTGAGAATATGGCGAGTCTTGAGGGCCAGCAAGAAAATTATTCGAATAATCCAGCAGGTATGCATTAAAAATGTGAAACAACCAAATAAAATACAACTAGAAAACCGTGCGCGTAAAGTGACCAGTGCAAATATTGAACAAACAATTCGTGTAACAAAAAGCCACGAAAAAAATTTGTTGGTCGAATGGGCAGCAGCAACCAAGACAACGACGACGACTCACACTCGAAAAAGCGAACGAAAAAAAAAAGAAGAAGCCAGAAGAAGTGTTTGCTTCATATGGGTGAAATTGCCCCCGTGTGTTTTTTCGAGTTCCTTACAGTGTGGCTGTTGTTTTGCCAGCGCTAAATCCCCCCTTACCGGAGTTTTGAGTTATAAATAAAATTTCGTTCAAAGTTTCCAGAGGAAAAACATTTTTGCCGTCACCTCAGCCGCAGCCAGCGTTTACAGTCATCGTGAGGCAGCAGCTGCGCTGCAGCTGCACATTTGTTGTGTGTGTGCTTGCGTCTGTGTATGTGTATGTATGTTTGTCCGTCTGCCACCGTCAACTTATCAAGTGCGTGTTTTTTCTCCTTGCCCTACAAGTGCAAAACAGAAGCCGATTGATTTTCCTTTTCTTTTTTGTTACATTCTCATATTCATTTCTTTTTCGGACTTTATCGAGTGAGTGTTCGCAAAAAACTAGTGAAAATTCGTGGAAGATACTTTAAAAAATTATATATTATATATGTATATAAACAGCGGGGCTGAATGAACTTTTACAACACATAGTTTACAAATATTTCTTACGAAATCAAAACACANCAGCAGCTGCGCTGCAGCTGCACATTTGTTGTGTGTGTGCTTGCGTCTGTGTATGTGTATGTATGTTTGTCCGTCTGCCACCGTCAACTTATCAAGTGCGTGTTTTTTCTCCTTGCCCTACAAGTGCAAAACAGAAGCCGATTGATTTTCCTTTTCTTTTTTGTTACATTCTCATATTCATTTCTTTTTCGGACTTTATCGAGTGAGTGTTCGCAAAAATCTAGTGAAAATTCGTGGAAGATACTTTAAAAAAATATATACTATATATGTATATAAACAGCGGGGCTGAATGAACTTTTACAACACATAGTTTACAAATATTTCTTACGAAATCAAAACACAAACTAAAGTGTTTATTTTGCTTTTGTTTTTCTGATTTACTTGCAGTGGAAAACATACCCAAACGACCCGAAAGCCGAGAGGGGAGCGCCGAGCGAAAAGGTAAGACTACGTTTTATACACTACTCTAATTATTATATATGTATGTATAATACGGGACATATGTATATATGTGCTATATAAAATTTACATAGGCGACTATTGCATGCTCTTACGGGTCATAAGCAAAACGTAAGGGAAATCGAAATACATAATAGTTAAGAATATATATTAATAGGTCAGCTATTTTGTGATCTACCCTTGTACAAACTAATATGATGTTATGATATCATACACCAAGGAAAATCACTATAAGAAATCTATGTAGGGTTTCATAATTTTTAATTTTAGCACAATTTTATCACATATACTAGAAATAGATAGGAGATATTAACATGGGCTCTAGTTCTGAAACACCTTTCTGTATTAGGGTATGCTGATTCTAACACCAAGTTTGCAACTTATTGAGTAAAGCTATAAATATAAATATTTATAAGGATATCAATGGCAAAGCAATTTCTGCAACCATTAAAAATAATGTTAACAATTAAAAATGCACTCGTTAACGCTTACGTTACGTTATACTAACGTAGGTCGCCTGACCACCGCGTTGCATGTCTTGTAACAAAAGCCGAATGCTCTAAAAATGCAAGAGCAAATTGAGCAGCGAAATTCTTGTGTCGAGGGACAAAGCGCGAGTGGGCTGCTAATGCATCTGCAGCTGTAAGCAAGCCCATGGAGCAGACTAAAAAGACAAACACTAAAAGGTGGGCGACGTACATACATACATACATTTGTATGTAGCTTCGTCGCTGTCGTCTGCCAACGTTCAAGGTTGTTGACTCTGGCATGATCATTCACATTCACAGGTGATGATAAGCAAGTTCGCTATCTAAGCGCTGTTACAGAAGTGTATCTAAATAAATGCGGATAAAATAGAAACACAGCTTGGCCCCGATACAATGCCAGTTGTTGCAGATGGGAACTTGTGTATTTTCCTTTTGTTCCAACAATTTGCATTCACAATTACGTCATTGAATTCCATAAATACCAATAAATACGATAACGCGTTATCGCCCGGCGATTGCCGATTGGCGATTACAACGAATGCGCAGAAAGTTAGTTGACCAATTGCCAGTTGGCTAAATTTGAGTAGTTTTTACAATTTCTTTTTTGTTTGATTTTGCATTTTTATTGCTTTTATTTTGCACAATGGCTCAATGTCATTTTAATAAAAAAAAAAAATAAACTATGCGCTTATATTTTACTCTTTGCCTTATTTGCTCATCGCTCAGCTCTGGGGGCGACCTATGTATGAGTGTATATATTTATGTGATTGTATGTGTGTGCATTGTTATTGTAGTTTGTTGTCAATTGACCCACATACATACAAAGCGAGCGCACAGTGAGTGACGATGACGTCAGTCGGTGTAAAAGTCGCGCGGCTGTTGTGGCCGGCAAATGCCAAAAAAGGCGAGTAAGCTCTAGTTCTGGTTGAGTTCATTCGACTAGCGCATACCCTGCAGACAAGAATGACAACTAAAAATTAATGTAGCATGAGTTATGTAGTTATAGCTTTCTTTGTAACCCAAATTTATTTATTAATTTGGCTAACATAAATATCCAGCCTCAACTGAAATGAGCAAAAGATTTCAATGTACCCGATTTGCTCATGCTTATGTAGTGTAGGGCATTAAAAACAAGCGGCAGCGTATGAACAATATTGCTGAAGCTTTATCGATTTTACTTTTATTTTTTTGCCACAGGTAGCAAAATAATTTTGTTGATTAAACCTAGCATCTACATGTGAAATAGGAATGTTCGTGCTGGCTGCCGCACCCGCCAGTCAGTGCCAGCACCCCCACTCTCAATCGCAAAAACCTCAAGATTATATACAAGTCTCTAATACATTTTTGTTTCCATTCACATTTTGACAGCGTCCAAAGACCGAGAAGAGAAACTGAAATATGCGCGCGATCGACAGAATGAGGAGAGACAGAGAAAAATCGAAGAGCTGCGAGCCCAAGCCGAGGCGGCACAAAAATATCGCGAACAAAAGGAGGAGGAGCGTCGTCGTCGCATCGAGGAGATACGTGTGCGTGACACAGAGAAACGTCATCAGGTGGAGGAGCGCAAAAAGGCCATCATTGAGGCCGAGAAGGAGCGACGAGAGTATATACTCAAAAAGAATCAAGTGTGTAGAACATACATATACTATCCATACATATCTATATATATTGAACTCTGCTTTTGCTTTTACAGGAGCGCGAATCACGAATAGAGACAAAGAAACGGGATAGAAATTCGATTGCGTTTGCTTTTGGCTCGTCAACGCCTCGTTTGCTGGATGTGCCAACGGATTATGGCCTGGTATCGCCCAGTAATTTCTGGAGTCAAAGACGGTGCGTCTTTATAGTCGAACCAAACTATATGGATACCATAATTGTATATGATTTTATATATTTATAGTTCCACATCTATATCAAATGTAGCGGGCGCCTCGCTCTCACGTCGCAGTTCCGAGCGTGAACTCGCCGATAGTGGTGCTAAGAAGCGTGCCTCCTCATCCACGGATAGGCAAGATGGTGAGTTAGTAGAAGTAGTAACAGCCCATCCAAACAACTTTCGGTCGAACTGTCACAGACACACACACACGCACACAACCACACACACACGTTACACGGAGTACAATTCAGCAACAACACTTAATCTTAACTATTTATTTTGCAGTTAATTATACTTTAGACAAACCACTCATAATTTACAGAAACAAGAAAACTCCGTTTTGTTTACGTGACAATCTCCCACCATATATACTAAATAGTTATTTGTCTATATATAACCGCTTCCCAAGTATCTGTGAACTGTTGCAGCAGTGTGCAAATAGTTATTGACTTGATTTCAATATCACCTATCCTACACCCCGTTTATTTGATTTACAAAATATACATTTTTATATACCCACCACTTTAGCTAATTTCAAAACAGTTAGCTTCAGTTCTTGTTAATTTTTTCAATTCTCACTATTTCTCACTTATTATCTCTCTCTCACTCTCTCTGTTCAAACTGCCCCCCACATTTAAACACCTCTGCACACAGATCACCGCCGTAAGTCTTCGTCCATGTACGAGGTGTTCAATTGGGGCTATTCGAACGATGAGCCGCCAAAGCGTTTTTCGCTATCGATAGCTGGCAGCGAAATAAATATCGATGGGCCAGCCCATCCCACTAAGAATAACGCCCAAAAACTGACTTCCACAACAACAACAACCACAACTGCGCACAGACCATATACAACAGCAACAACTGAAAGCCACTACAACAACAACAATAACTCATATCGTAAGGGTGAGGGTTCCTCTTCTCTACTCTTCTACTTCTCTATTGTTCCTGTTTTGTTATTGTATTCCCCAATTTTATTTGACTGTTGCCCTAACCGCCCTCGTTTCTAAGAAGCTCTCCTAACCGGCATGTGCCCAAGTTATTTGCATGATCTAATAATTGTACCTTGTAAAAAGAATCCTTTAAAATGAGCACGAAAGCTTTCGATTGTAATTATCGATTGCGATTATCAATAAATAACAGTGCGTCACTTGATGTTGATAATAATTTGATTAATTATCTGTCGTTTAGATTGATTACCATGATTGATATA